TCTCTTCATAAAGCATGATTTTTCTGTCCGACTTAGGGCTCCCTTGTTCCACTTGTATGCCGCAATTATCGTGCGGGAAAACACGGTGTGTTCCGGCTCTCTGATGTAATGTCGATGCGACACATGACCATGGAAGCTCCGAACTAATGAGCCCTGGCTGGGCGTAAAAGCGAAGGTAGGCAAAAGGGCGTGACCATTGTCACGCAAGAAGCCGCAGTTCTGTTGGATTTCATTTGATTGGTCCACAAAGCCTGCAGGTTGCTGTGCACTGTCACTTGACGAGGAGAAGTCATCTGATAGGATCTTGCATACTTCTTGAATTGCTAAAGCAAAACACAAGAAGGTTCAAACTAAGGATCGTTAAGCTACCGACTTAAGGGCCACCACAGTTTACATAGTTAATAACTAATATTTTAGGCTGATAGTGGTGGGTATTATAAATGCAGCTGTCAAATCTGTTGAATTCCGGAAGCTGTTAACGAATATTGATGTTGCTGGCAGTACTCCCAGAAAACCTATGAAAATTAACATAGTAGCTTGCCTCATTATGAGGGCTTTGCGTCTTCTTTTACTTCTTCTAATTTACCTTGCTCATATATCTGTGACTATTTAGCTTACTTCAATATAAAATATGCAGATCAGTGTGGCCATTTCTAATGATTCCACACTAACAGGAAATCGTTCATAAGCAACAAAAAACAGGTTGCAAGCTCCTCACTCCCTCAAAATCACACAAGATTAGAATCCCATTTCCAGCTACATCTGCGTTAGTCAGTAAACAGTGCACAATTCCCATTCCTTTTTTTTTTTTTTTTTTTTGCAATGTCTATGATGAGGAAACCAACTCAAACGGGCTGCTTTGGAAAAGAGTGAGTGGAATGCAAACCATTAGTTTTCTCTCATGATATCTAATCTTGTGAAGCCTCAGCAAGCAAAAGGTCCGTACAGATCCGTACTTTTCACTGTGCAGACCTTGAAGCCGCTGTGCATCAGTAGAAAGACTGATTCGACGTCTTTTAGCAGTTCCAATGATCTGAATCCAATACTCCGGCTCGTAAACCTCGTGATAGGAAAATCAGCGCAAAATTTTCGCGATGTGCTCATCGACATATAAATACTGTGGTAAAAAAGTACACCACATACCGACAGTCGTTCTACTGGTCACCAGCGGCTTCACAAGATTGGGAATCATGAAAGGAAACTAATGGTTTGTTTCTCAATCACTATGTTCCAAAGCGGTCCGTTTAAGTTGGTTTTCTCATCAAGGGTTAAGTTGGTCATTGGTCATTGGTTTAACTTGGTCATTGGAAAAAATAGGAATGGGAATTGTGCACTCTCAAATCAGTGAATGATGAAAACATTGTAGACACGCACTTTCTGACTCTAAAAGTTTCAAGTGAATTTTTGTCTAATAATTCGTGAGCATAAGAAGTAATATTTTTACCTCTATACTACATATGTTTATGTTAACTAATAAATATTTTCTGGAAAACCAAAAAGGAAATTTAAGCTTTCGAGATCTGAAAATAATGACAATTTAATGCTATTTATAACAGTAAATAGAGTTTAAACTTATCACGGTGACCACTAAGTCATTATTTAAATGGCCTCTTAAAGACATATTGGTAGAAATTTATAAAAAAAAATATAGCACTAAAAGATTAAAACGAGGAGACAGTATAAGTCCTGTAATAGGAAAAGGACGTATGACAAAATTAAGTTTTAAATATTTAAACTTATAAAGAAATTTTAAAAAGTAAAGAAAACAATTAGAATATTTTAACTCGGATTTATTTTTAATGCAGACAATATCAAGATGGAACACATATCAGATAAAAATGCTTTAACCCAAGTGCATGACATATGATACTAGATGTGCCTTTTATAAATTAATATTCAATCAGTTCTCATTTCCGAGCGCTGGAGATAAAAAGGTTCGCCCCCCCCGTAAGATTGTTACCATTGCTCGCTTTCCAATTGTTGAGTTTCTTACTCAAAAATTTGTTAAAGTTTTACAAAATATGAAATCGATTATGAAACAAATTCCAAATTTCAAATTTGGGCTTCCAATGCCCATATTCGTAGTAGGATTACATCATTTAAAATTCGATGGCTCTATGTACCGTTGTTTCATCACAATGCAAGAAATATACATACATTTATGCATATTTTTCATTTTTAATTTCTTCAAATATAATGCAGGACTCTAACATTTGGTGGCAACAGTTTGAAAAGTGAAACGGTCATTTATAGTGATTCAACGCAAAATCGCAAAACGAAAACCATAGTCCTTCAGGGACAAATTCCCTTTGGACTAATAAAAAGAATTTGAAACATTTTCACATATTATATTACGCACCAAAGGGGCGTTTTTTTTTTCCATTTACACAAATGCGAGCAATTTCGAGAGCATTTAGGCTAATGTCCCTTTGGGCTAAAAATATTCAAAACAGCACACCTTTAATATTTGCGACAGACATTCTCGCGCGCTGGAGCTAAAAATGTTTTATTCCTTACAGTGTTGCAAATGCTCGATTTGAAAACGTTGAGATTTTTAATTGAAAATTCGTTACGTTTTACAAAGTATGAAATAGGCTATAAAAGAAATTCCAAATTTGGGCTTCTAGGTGCCATGTTCAGGTGGAGGCCTATGTTTTCCAAAATTTGAGAGCTCTGGGTACTGTTGTGTTTTCACAGTGCGAGAAACATACACACATTCATGCAGATTTTTCATTATTTAATTTCTTTAATACAAGGAGATAATATGTGGTGAAAAAAGGCTTTGAATATATGGGGAAAAGGGAAAATTTGAAAAGGGATTCAATGCTTTCAGTGCTTCAACGCAAATTGCCATTCTGGGACTAACAGCCCTTCTAGGCTAATACTCCTCTGGGCTAATAATGATAAAAATGAAGAAATAACAACGAAAGCAACGAAAAATAAATGGATGGAAGTTGTGAGATATGAAAAGCAAGTTAGTTGGTTAATAATTCTGTTGCCATCGAAATTAATCAAATTAATTAAATGCATGTATTGCTTTTCAAATGTTTCATTGTGTGGCAGTTATAAGCAATGTAATACTATGATTTAGAAGAAATTTTGTTAGGAAAGGACTATCTTCTCTTCTCATTATGTCAGGGAAGAGCTATCTTCACTAACTGGATACATCTGCTTCAAGTGAAGCAATAAATTTTTAAAAGAAAATAGTCTGCTGCAGCTTATCAAAGCCATTGATGCCTACAAAAGTTTTAAAAGCGTTAACTTAATAATAGTTATTACATTAAAACTAAGAAACGTAGCTCAACTACAGAACTGAATTGAGAGGACAAAATTCAGGATATTTATTCCAGACTGATAAAAAGAACATAAAAGATGCCAGAATTTCGAAAAAATTAAAAACTTAATTTAAACAAGTTGAGGAATTGCAAATAAAGTACGTAAATCCACATGCCTTTCCAGTTTCTTGAATGTTGACAGGTAAATAAATATATTACTATCTCAGACGTCAGACACAGACAGGCGTGTGAAGGGCAAAGAATGCGAGACAGCGCCCACGAAAACTCAGATAATTATTATGAAATAATGCGCACGGGAACGAATAGAAACTTCAACCTTGAAGTGAAACGAAAAAGAAGTATTTGAGACTTTAATTAAAGAGGAGGCAGTAAATTAGATGTTGGATTTATGACAATTTCAGTCATATGGGAAAATTAATTCCTTTCATTAATATTTTTATGATACTTAGGCGGTTTTAGAAGATGAAAAAGAATCTGTGGTAAAAATGTGTACCGAATATAATAAGTTGCGCACTAAAACAAAATTTTATCGCCACTGAACGTGAATGTGACTTTCAAAAATGTAAGTTCTGAAACTCAATAAACATAAAATGCAGAAAAATGCTTAATGAAATAAAATCTGTAAAAACCTGAAAGCTTATAGATTTTATATGACGCCCAAAGGAGGTTTTTTTTTTTAACTTTTGTGTGTTAGCATTACTCATTAAGTATCATGTTCTTCGCGCTTAAATCATAAACAACAGTTAAATTTGGGCCCATAGTAGAGTGGAAGACTACGTTGTTCAAAATTTGATGTCACTATGTACCGTTGGTTTTCTACAGTGCGAGAAATATACATACATTCATTCAGATTCTTCATTATTTAATTTCTTAAATATAATGCAAGGCTCTAATATTTAGTGGCAAAAATTTGAAAAATTGAATGCCGTTTAATAATGCATGTCGCAAAATGCCAAAACGAAATTAATAGCCCTTCTGGGCAAATTTTCCCTTTGGGCTAAAAAGCACTTCAGCATGGAATTCTGGAAAAATACAAGACTGTTTAAATTAAAGGTTATATATATATATATATTTAAATTCTGGCTTTTGTTGAACGAAATGCACAAGAAATCTGAAAGCACATATTCAATAATTTATCGTCCAGTTTGTATTGCCTAAAATAGAATGCGTGGGTGAATTTTGTACATCCAAAGATATATTCTAATATTCTCTCAGAATGCCTGAAAATAAAACGAAGAACGCATTTCGTAATTAAACATAGATTGCTAGAAAAATTTTCGTCGCACATAGAATCAGGTGCACCAAAGTTATTTATCTGTACAATTGAAAGAAAAAAAATCAGAATGAACGACTAACATTCCTGCACTATCTTGAAGATAGCACTTCGGTACGTTCAGAAAACACGCTTACTAGCAAAGAAGAAAAAAGAAAGTAAAATTATTAACAAAGAATCATTTTTAACTTTTTTTCGCAGAAATTCAATCTCATAAGTTACTAGAACGTTAAAGGTTTAACTTACGTTTTAAGAAAAACTAAAGATGAAACTAAAATGACAATGTCAAAATAGAAGAATTTATAACGAACTGAAACGCTGACTTCTTATATGTTAAGTTACAAACATATATTTTTTATCCAGTAAAATAAACTTTATAATAATAACATAAAAGTAAATATTTTGTATTAAAACTGGTAAAATTTACATACCAAATATTCAATTAATTCGCAAATTTATCATTCCTGTAGGCTCCAATTCTTCAAAAAGGTTTCTGAAAAAGTATAGTAATTTTAGAAATAATAATTTTGAGAAACGGTTTTCATAATGAATGAAAATATCTATTCGATTCTAATTCAGAAGTCAAACAACAAAAATCAGCGTTATATCTTCAAATTTTCTCAGGACTAGTTTGGGTGGTTTTACCGAACCACCATCCTCAGCTGCAAAAGCGCAAATGAATGAGATAGGATATAATGATTAGATAAGATAAGACAGCCTGGATAGAAAATTAGCTAGTGGCGCTATTTGTTGATGAAACCAGAACTAAAACATAATTTCTTTAAAGGCCGAAAGCAAAGATGGATTGGATTGGATCGTTAACTAGAACAGAAAGATTTTTTTGAATGTGAAATGCCTCTAGAAAATCCAGTTCTCCAATGGAAGATGTATTTTGAATAATTTTGGCAGCAGAAAAATGGAAAGTGTGATTTTCGGATCAACAATGTTGGGCAACAGAAGACTTCCTGTGTTTCCTTTTTTCTAACAAATGCCTCATGTTCCTTGAAGCGAAATTTTAAGGGTATCTTAGTTTGGCCCATGTAAATTAAACCACACTGGCAAGGAATCTTATAAATACCCCAGGAAGTAATATCCGGAACGGGGTCCTTGAGTATGGAACTCGGAATTTTATTGATGGAAGAATAAACGACCCGAAAGTTAAATTTCTGCAAGATATGTGCAAATTTATAGCTAATTGATGGAAAGAAAGGAATGACAACAGAATTTTATTAATCTCCTAAAACAAGAGTGTGACTTTTAGTGTGTTGAGATGAGAATTTTTTAACTGCTTAATTAATAATGTTGGGTGAAATGCCCCTGTCAATAGCTATTGCTTTTAAATAATTTAGTTCTTCATCAAGGAAACGTTGGAAATACAACACTGATTTTTGTTGTTTGACTTCTAAATTAATATTTGTTCGGCGTGTTATTGTATCTTAACTAATCTACTGTTATACATTATTTGTTGTATTATACGCACTTGGCATATTTCTGTTTCTTTTAAATTTTTATTACGTGTAAAATATAGAAATTAAAATATAATTGAATTTTTAAAATAATTACTCGGTAATTAATTAAAGCATTCTGAAATTTCATTTGAAAATTGATGTGTAAATAAATTCAAAAGTGTAAAACCTATGTATAGGCTAACTATCGAAATTCAAAAAATGGGAACAAGATTTTTCGCCTTTTAGATGTTACTAAATTCAAACGTGGCAGCTCTGCGCACTGTGGTGTTATCCGCATTTAATTAACTAAAACCTCTGCCAAAGATTGCACTGTCTGAACTCTGGTAATTATTCATCAAGTTACCGTACATCCTATTTAAAATTTTATTAACAATTGAAAGCCCTGTGACCAACAAAACTATATATATATATAAGCCTTAGAATATTGTTTGTGACGTCTTTAAGTAAGTATACAACCGTGTATGATGAAATATATCCGAGAAATTAAAGCAATATATTAAAAGCAAATAACTCTAGCAGGAGCATTTTGGCTTTAGGATTAAGAAAATGACTCTTTCTCGTGGTTGCTTGTTTTAGAGAATTTGGGGGTTTCTTTTAGAGACTCCGTGCCGGTCACAGGGCCAGTTTAAACTTAACTGTCTAACTTATCTACATTTTTTTTTTTTTGTCATGGCGAATAATTGAAGTAGTATAAAAATCCACCCAAAAGAAACTCCGTGCGTAAAGAACAACTTTAATTTCTCTTTTATTTTTTATCTTCAATTTAAAAAATAAGTGCTCTGCACGTAATTGAAGTACTCTTGTTTTGTGAATGAACGCAGTTGGCTAGAGTGTAGCAGCTAAAAATTCTAATTCAACTGCCTAATCAAATAGAAGATGGAATTAATATAACTCTAAATTAAAATATTCAAATTCACCTCTAATTTATTAATAGCTAGTAACGGGCAGTCTCGGACAGCCCTTGTTGAGAAGATAGCCTCTCAGACAGCCCTGGTTTCTTTTTAATTCTCTAAAACAAGAAGTAAGTTTTATTGATCCTAAGTTACAGTAGAGAATCTAAGCTACTGAAGCATCATGCTTGTTTAACTCAAATGTCCATGAACTTGGGCTATGTTGTGTGGAAGGCAAGAAGAACAAGAAACGAGAAAACAAAATTAGTAAATAAGCGTAATTTGTCAAACTATGATGTCTTTATGCCCAGACTTCGAGATAAGGATCGAAGTATTCAAAGTAGTTGAAATAAACATTAGAAAATTACTAAATGTAAGAAAAATAATGCAATCATAGTAAAAACAAATCAAAAAATAAAAAATAAAAATATATATAATAAGAAAGTGAATGTACATGAAGATATAATGGCCAGAAAAGCATTAATTATATAGTACATAGTACTCTTTTCAGATTAATTAATCTTAGGAGATAATATAATCAATTTTTTATTTAATAATTATATATAGTATATATATATATTTAAACAAATTTAAATTTAATTTTTTAACAAACACGTATAAAAGTAAAAAAGCAAATTTAAATCCTAAAAAAAGAAAAAAAAAGCCAAATAATTTTTAAAAAAATTGTGCAAACATATAAAAGATTAATACTCGAACTAATCTACAATATCATTTAAATTCAGAAGCATAAGCAAATCAGATGCAAAATCAATCCATGAAAATAAATTTACTATTTAATAAATTAAAATTAAATTAAAATTTTTTAAAATGCATATGTGAATGACCGTTGAGTAGGCAGGAGACAGACTTATCAAGGGGAAGTTACCTCCAAACCTAACTCTCCAATTATTCAATTCGTGTTTCGTCATTCATGCAGGCAAGGGTAAAAGCATAGTATATATATATATATATATGATGTACCAGCTTTAGTCGTAGCTTAAATTATCAGACGATAAGTTTTAAAAAAAACAGGATCCATTTATTATTATTCAGGAGAAATAGCAGTTACAAAATCAGATATCCGGAGTAAATAAAAAGAATTACTAATAACTTTTTGTATGAAGTTTACTGCATCATGTCATTTAAGAAAGAGCCCTCGATATTCCTTCGCGAGTCTTTTTATAGCCTCTGGAAAGGCGGTGCTTCCAAGAAATGACGTCAGTCTCGTCAGCCAATCCAGTTCGCTTTAAATATTTCCAGAACATTCTATAACTGTACGTGTAGAAAAAGCGGGAAAAACAACTTGACTACGGGGCTGTGGATTTAATTTCACGTATTTTCAAATAAGAGACCATCGCCATTAAAAATGAAAAGAACATACAGTTAGAATTTTAAGTGTATTCTTGACTATGGAATTTTTTCAAAACACATATATATATAGTAGTCAATATATATACTTTATATATATATATAAAGCTAGCAAATAATGCATAAGCAATAAGCAAGCAAAAATCAAACGATTTGAAGTAAGGTTATAAGTAAGTAAAGGAATTAAATTTATCAAAAATATAAAATAATATACTAAAATATTATAAACAAAATATACAACAAAAATGTTTTGATCGAAAGGAAACAAATTTTGTTAGAGAGCAATGATAATCAGACAAAAATAAGCGAAAGAATAAATGAAACTCCCACAAGGAAAATCAAATTCAATCACCTAAATTATTCAAATACAGAATGAGTGGGTTTTTCTTAGGAAAACTGATTTTAGTCGCATACCGGTAATCATAAGTAATATTAGTAAAATAAACGTTTAATACGAAAAGATTATATATCAGGTCTGTGTAACTTAGATGAATTAATCGGTGCCTTTTCAAAGTAATCAGAAAAACTATACTAAACAAATTAGTACTAAGATTTCTATAAATATTTATAAATATATACTATGCAATACAGCATGAGTATTTTCTCTAAATTTAAATATTTTTTATAGACTAAAATTCCGAGTGAGCAGTAATAAACAATTATTAAACACGGAAATTTAAGGGAAAAAATAAATATAACACTGATGTACAAAAACTGCTACTTAAATAATGCATTCACTTTGTCAAATATTAATGTTCGTGCAAATTCTTCTAACAAATCGCATACAACTACTATAAATAATAGACGAGTCATAAAATTTTAGTACTTCAAGAAAATTTATATAATATCATATTAGTGCATTAAAAAGTAGAGAAAACTTTTCTCGTGATGCCAAATAAGAAAAACATTATAACATTTCTTCCTTCCTTTTTATATATTTTATTACAAAACCTCGGAAGAAAAATTGTTTGGATTACTCTCAGTTGTGTAAATATTTCAAATAAAGCAAAATTATAACAAATTTACAACGAATTTTACAGTAAATTTCTTCCTGTTTCCAAATTCGAAAAAGAATTGACAAGTTATGTGCAGTGATATGCAAAAATAATCATTTACAGCAATAATCACGAGATTTTTCAAGGTTCTGTAATAGGACCTTTAAGCCTCGTGGCAGTAAAAACTGGTTATTTTGCATGTTTTTTACTTTAAACACGCCCTGAATGAATTCTTTTGTATTACCATTTCAAATGCTTTTTTTTTTTTCCCCTGAATTTGAGGAAATGCATTTCTTTACAATCAAATATATAGACTTTATTTCATTAAACTATTATTTTAATACTGATTTAGATTATTGCACTTAATTTGACTAATACTATATTAATAAATTCTGAGTTTTATAACAATATTTCCTAGTCATTAATCTCTCGAAAGAGATCTCGTAATTATTCATTATTAATTGTTTTTGCTAGTTGAAATACTTAATTTAAGCTTATAGCTTAACATTAAATTTTTTCTTTAAGTTTTGTTTCCTTTGTTCTTGACTTTAAGAATTCGATTGTTTTAGATTTTTAACAGTTTTTTGGCAGTTTTGAAAAATATTTACTTAGCTTGCTACCTATAATTTGACTAATTGTTTATGTTGTTTTAATAATTTCTTATTATGTTTAAGTTTTGTTTAAGTTACAGTATTTTCTGCTTTGGGTCAAATTTAAATTTACTTGGCACTTACTTTTGATAAAATCACCTAGCTAATTCAGAAACGTGGG